CGACAACGAAAGTGATGTGGTTTCCAAATTGGTTTAAGGTATTCGGAGTCTTGCTATCGCTGAGGGCAAATGACTGTGACTGCATCCGAGTCAGGGATCATGGGATATGCCAGGAGGCGTCTGATGTGCTTTGCTGAAGCCTGTGTTGTTGTTATATTTCCAGATTATTTATTTTGTAGTGTGCCACAGTGTTTCTGATGCCGCTCCTGGAGGCCACTTTTATGCACATTTGATGTGTTTCTCTGATCTAATCAGCTCATTAGTGGAATGCTATGCTTTGACTCAAAGACTGCATTTCATTTGTTCTAGAGTGAATGTTTATCACTTCAGTGCACATCTCCACGAGTGCTGCAATGTGATTGTGACGTTCACTGTTCCCTACACACTCAGCAGGGGTGCAACATCAAATACAGACGACACTTCAGTCATGCAAATCTGAGGTTTTGGGTATAAATGGGCACAATGGGTATATTATATATATTTGTATAAATTAATATAAATACATAATATTATACTAAATAAATAATATTAAATGTATTGAGTTAGTTAAAATATTTTAATTAGTAAATTAATTGAACCCTCCAGTTGTGTTGGGGACAGCTCGATTTTCAAATTGCTCAAAATAATGGTTAAAGGGGTCATATGATGCGATTTCAATTTTTCCTTTCTCTTTGGAGTGTTACAAGATCTTGAAATTTTGTGAACATTTCTCATTTATGGTTATGAATAGGCCTATACATGCAAAGTTTCAACACATAAATGTGTTTTGGAAAGGCTGTACAGTTTTTTTTTAATGTTAGGGTCAAATTGGCCCCTCCGTTGATCCTTATTGGTTTCCATGCAAATTGAAATGAAAGTGAAATAAAGGTCAAAGGTTGTTTTTAGTATCTCAATTAGACTGCTGCACTTCTGAAAAGAAGTGTGAGAAACCCATTTTTCCCTCACAATGGTTGGAGAGGCAGACACAACAAAAAGGCAGAGGAGATAGCAATAAATTGGTGTACAAATAGTCACAAGTAGTCATGTAGTCAGTTTTTGGTCTCTGACTGAGAGCTATGATAGAGGTTTTCTGTTTGGTTATTACATGAATCTTAAGGGGATTTTTTTTTCATAGTGCTGATTTTTGACCAATTGTATGGAAACAATTGTGCATCAGTTTTGACCCCAACACAAAAACGGTAACGTTACCCAGCTTTTTTTTTTTTTTTACCACAACAGGAGGGGTTAAATTATTGTATTTTTATTATAATTTTAAATGACTGAATTTAAAATATTCACAGACAATAGACTTTATACCGTTAATTTCGCCGAAATGTTGCAAATTCCGATTTTCAGTGATGGAAGCAACATTATATTTACCGCTAAATTTAGCTAAAACATACAGTAGCCCCGTGCACATATCAACTAAATATGAGGCCTGTGATCAGTAATGGTAGAGTCAGTGATAAATGGACTCATATTTTACCTGACAGACTTATGTCCTTTAGATGTGATGATGTTGACACTTAAACTTGTTGACATTTTAAAAAGAGAGAGAGCATTATGCGAAAGCCGAGCCGAGTAGTTAGCAGCTTGTTTTCTTCACGAAATCCATTTAAACGGTTCACCTGCCCCGCTGCAGCGTTCAGTGTGCGTCACGCCGCCGCCGAAAGGCTTCACGAACCAACCCAGCCACGCCTAGTAATAAAAAAAAAAAATTAATGTATGTTTTCTATAATAAGAATATGGTATTTTATATAAATATAAATATATAGATGAAATAATATAGCTATTTTCCGGCCTGTGTATTTGTTATTACATTTATAGTTCTGAATAATTAATTTACTCTTTTAAATAAGTGATTATTTTTCATTATTATTTATTTGTAATTGTACGGAAGTTTTAATTATTGCCGTTGACGTTTACGTGAGGCAAAATAAAAGTTTTCACTAATGTTCAGGACTACTTCCTGTTTACAAATGTAACCCCGTAAAGCGCAACAACCCAGCCACGCCTAGTAATAAAAAAAAAAAAATTAATGTATGTTTTCTATAATAAGAATATGGTATTTTATATAAATATAAATATATAGATGAAATAATATAGCTATTTTCCGGCCTGTGTATTTGTTATTACATTTATAGTTCTGAATAATTAATTTACTCTTTTAAATAAGTGATTATTTTTCATTATTATTTATTTGTAATTGTACGGAAGTTTTAATTATTGCCGTTGACGTTTACGTGAGGCAAAATAAAAGTTTTCACTAATGTTCAGGACTACTTCCTGTTTACAAATGTAACCCCGTAAAGCGCAAATTTAGTAATATTAGTATATACTAATATTAGTATATAAAATAATAATAATAATAACAATAATAAAACCTTACAATATGCGATTTTGGTAAAAGCTTGTAATGTAAATCAATGTGATCCTTATACCAGTAAAACAGACATAAAATGCATACAATATTGTGTATTACAGTTTTTTCCCCCAGCAAAGTTTACATCATGTTGATAATTTAGAATTCTTATAAATTCATGTATCAAATATGATGCTTTATGAGGTTAAAGACTACTGAATCAGTTAAGATAAATGCCATGTAGGTGTTAATTTAGGTTATAATATGGAGATTTTAACATTTTTTAATGCACTTTGACTGACGCAAGTATTTGCATACAAATAAAACTGCAAAACAACATAAATGAATAAAAGCAAGCAAAGTCTTGTGTCTTCAACCAATTGAAGTACACAGATTTCACAAGAACAGAGACTTGAATTCTCATCCCAATTTGAGGGAGCAGGTTTGAGAAGCAGAAGTCATATAGAGTTTTCTGCTGATGGCCACGAGAGCTCTTGACAAGGTTCTTGGGTAGCAAAGCAGGAAGGTGTTAGTATGCTGTGGAGGGTACAGAACGCTTGAACAGCCCGGAGGGGAGCGGAGATGTCCAAACTGAGATGTGCTGGATGTGGGGGCCAGGAATGATTGGAAAATGATCCAAGCTCTCTGACTGTTCAACAGCAGCTGAGCTGCAGCATGGCAATTCAGAGAACAGTTGCCTTCCATTAAAGCAATTTCTACAGTGTCATTTTCTGGCACACTGTACAAGATTCTGCAAAAGAGATTTTTAAGGTGGTGTTTTAATGGTTTGAAGTAAAAACGTTTTAATGATGTATTTGTTTCTTACAAACATGCAGCTTTTGGCTTCACAAGACATTAACTGATGGACTGGAGTGGTGGGCATGGGTTACTTGTGGATTATTGTGATGTTTTTATCAGCTGTTTGGACTCTCATTCTGACGGCACCCATTCACTGACGAGGATCTGTTAGTGAGCAATTGATGTAATGCTACATTTCTCCAAATCTGTTCCGATGAAGAAACTTTCCTATGTCCCATTTCCTATATTCCTTTCATTTGGGTGAACTTTTCCTTTAAGAATGTTTAGCTACTGGAAACGGACAAAAATACTGAGGAAGAGAGTTTTGCGGTGCATTTCATATCATCCAGATCAAGCAGCCTTTTCTGAGCCTCAAGCATTAAACCACTCCATCATCCACTTCCAAAACAAATTCGTGCTTCAGTATGAAATATAACTCAGTATGAACTATAATAATTTGCTTCCTGCAGCACAGCAGAAACCGGCCAGCATACACAAAATCCATCTGTTGACAATCACGATTTTGATGATGTGGCTGTTGTGATGTCTACTCGCTTAGACAATAGCGGATAAACTAGATGAGGCTTCTTCTAAGACAGCATATGCCCCTTTTCAAGGTCTCTGTAGGGATTTTGTCAGAGCTACTGTTGACTAAAGGCTCTGTGCTGTCGAAAGAATCTCTGCAGACTTTCAAGGGTTCATGCAGCGAACGGGAGTTCTGGAAGGAATCCAGGCCGGCGCAGCCCATACCAGGACTTTGTTCTAGGAGCTCTCAGTCCGGCTTTCATTCATCTTTGATCATAAGAGAAGCGTCTGCTGACTTCACCGGAACAGCTCTGGTCCCCGGAGCGATCAGAACACGAGCTCCGTGTTTATCCAGCTTTCCCCGTGCCTCTGCTGTTTTATTCGGAATTTCTGCATGAGTGGTTTTTGATCAGCCAAAGACACGAGAGGGTTAGAGAGAGCTTTCAGTTTTTCTCTCAGAAGTGGCTGGATCACTAGAGGCCGGTCAAAACAGTCTTGATGGCGCCTCGGGGACGTGTTAATAATCTCTGCGGCAGCTGATGTATGCTTGACTTGTACTGTCCCCACTCATCAGCCGTGGCGGTCACCGTCCGACTCCAATACCCTCCTCGGCAGTTTCAAAGGCTCGTCTGGAGAATTCATTGCTTTGCTGCGGTGATATTTTCTGCATTGCTCCGTTCAGTGAGATGATAGAGGAGGTCGTGTGCAAATAGCCTTCTAAGGGAGCAAAATGAAACCCCTTTAGTTATTTGTACATAAAAGCACCAAATGTAAACATATTTGGAACGCTCTGAATAGGTAGCAAGTCTACAAGTTATACAAATGACTAACAATTTATTACACACACAGGCCTATATTTAATTCTCCCTATATATATATATATATATATATATATATATAATTTCTCAAAAATTATATATATATATATATATATATATATATATTTTTTCAATTAAATATAGGCCTGTGTGTGTAATAAATTGTTAGTCATTTGTATAACTTGTAGACTTGCTACCTATTCAGAGCGTTCCAAATATGTTTACATTTGGTGCTTTTATGTACAAATAACTAAAGGGGTTTCATTTTGCTCCCTTAGAAGGCTATTTGCACACGACCTCCTCTATCATCTCACTGAACGGAAAAAGTTGAACCTCACAAAGCTTGCCTGGGTCATATTTCACCCCCAAATAAAACAAAACATTGAAAAAATACTGCATAAAGACGTATATTGTTAAGACCAATAAGTCATGTTTTTTTTCAATGTGGAATGACAATTAAGCAAATTTCCCATATAAAAAAACATTTGTAGTATTTGTTATACAGTCTATTATAAAAATAATAAAATGTTTTGATTTTAGGGTCAACTATGACAGATATGTTTTGTGCAGTGAACCTTGTTTTTACTAACCTGATTTATTTGAGGGTAGAAAATATCATGTTATGTTTATTTTACAGTACAAAACCATGATTCACCAAAACCTCCATCCACAAAAACTGCACAGATTAGCTGACAAACAGAAAAAATATCCACCTAATTTATCCACTAACTAGCTGTAATGGTACACACTCACGGCTCAATGGCATCGCTTCATCAACTCACTTCATCTAACAGGCCTGAGCCCAGGTTTTCCTCATGATGATGTAAACACAGGGCATATAGTGACCACACTTCCTGAGATTTGTGATTCAGTTTCTCTCTGATTGTGATAGGGCTCTAGGAAGAGGGCTGTTCAGTGTCTGTCTGTGGTTCTGCGTCCGTTTCATTCACGGCAGAAGAACTTGAAGGATTGTGGGAGGAGCCGTTTAAAGGATGCGCCTCACAGGACGACGTCTGCGTTTTGATTGGTTGAGAGTCACTAAACGTTGCCTCCTTTACCTCTTCTTCTACTTTAACATCTTTCTTGCAGTTTATCTCGCCATCCTGCTCTTTCTTCTTTCGTTTTTTTGGGACGGCGTGTTTATTTTCCTCTATTTTCAGCTCGATCTTCACTTCCTTTTTCCAGGCTCCGAATGGGAGGATGTCCTGGTCTCCACCTGAGCTTTCACACAGCATTGGCCCCGCCCACTCTGGAACCTCCAATCCCAGCAGCTTCATCAGCTGACCCATGACCTCGTCTACATAGCCGCGGATACGCAGGTGGGCGTGTTTGTCCTACAAAAACCAAGTAGCACTGTTAAGTAAAAACAACCTGAGAGATTTTAAAGCAAAAACAAAAATGAATATGAACTAATACAAAAGCTTTCTGTGGATGACAATTTAAGCTGTTATTCACTGAAATCCATCACACAGCTATTGTGTGACTTCAGACGCACGACTGCTACTTGACAACTATTATATGTTTATTGTGCTTTTTATTACTTTTTGCATTCTACAGGAGAAAATCACACAGGTTGTATAAAAAAAGTGAATGTTTTCATTTTTAGGATTTTTTTTTATTTTTTAAAGGGGTCATACGATGCGATTTCAATTTTTCCTTTCTCTTTTAATGTTTTTTGAGTAATGATGTTTAAAATTCAGCTTTGATAACAGCAATCAATTACATTTTACAACATATTCACATAATAAACAGCTATTTTAAATTGTAAAAATATTTCACAAGATTACCGTTTTTACTGTATTTTTATTCAAAACAATGCAGCCTTGGTGAACAGAAGAGACTTCAACAAAAACAATAAAAAACATTAAAAATCTTACTAACCCCAAACATTTTCCTTGAAAATTACACACCTACATATCTATTTGTTTTTTTCATTCTTTAGTCCATCGGTGTGAAATACTAATTTACTTTGAATAAATGCACACTTTAATCAATCACAGCAGAGTCAGCTTACCGACCGACATAATGGAACAGCGCAAGAAATGCCAAATTCTATTTCTTTACACATTAAGCTGCTATAATACCATAAACTCCCCCTTCAAAAATCTGACACGTGGAATAACTCATGTTGCATGTGTGTCAGGCTTTGAATTTCAAACTAGATTTAGAAAAAAATTAATCCAATTTGGGAACTGAGATGTTGACAGGAAGTAGAAGCAATGAGGTAAAGCGGCAAAAATAACCTTCAGATGAAACATGACTCTAACATGGGCATATAACAACACGTCTAAAAATTAATAGGATTAATCCATTAAAACACATTCCAGCCACATGATGAGATCAGAAAGGAAACGACAGACTAACGATACGAGCTTAAGAGAAAATCCAGCCGACTCTTTGATGAAGCTGCAAAGCTTCTTAAAGGGGTCATATGATGCGATTTCAAGTTTTCCTTTCTCTTTGGAGTGTTACAAGCTCTTGGTGCATAAAGCCACGCCTACCTAAAACGGCTCGTTCTAACACGCCCCCACATATCTACATCACTATGTGGAAATATTAGCATAATGCCGCCCAAATGTGCACGCAAAGAAAGAAGGCGTGGTTTCAGGAACAGCAGTAGTGTTGATGCAGCCATGTCAGGGAGACGCTGTGTGATTCAGTGCGAAAGCAAAAGCACTTTATTTGGCCTTCCGGAACTTTAAAATAGCATCATATGACCCCTTTAATCAAAATTGTTTTAATAATAAGCACGAATAGTCAGACGGGGTTTAGTGCAGCTGTGCTTTTGAAGGACGCTAATCTCACAGCGCACGTGCTGACAGATTTTAAACTGCTGCTTGTGTTTGCATAAGCATGTGTATTTTCATGTGGGTCAGGACTAAGAGAAAGACACTAGTGTGCTGCTAGTCCCCATCGACTTCCATTGTATTTTCATACTATGTCAATGGGGACCAGCAACTGCTTGGTTAATTCCTTTGTAACTTAATTTGTTCATTGGTTTTAGTAAATCGTGACCATGTTGTGCTAATTTGTTCCCTCATTTTAGGAAATTATGACAACGTTGCACTAATTTGTTCCCTCATTTTAGTACATTATGGCCACGTTGTACTAATTTGTTCCCTTGTTTCAATTAGGGAACAAATTAGTACAAGGGAACAAATTAGAACAATGTGGCCAGAAACATTTTAGTCACTTACATTATTCAAAATATCTTCTTTTGTGTTCAACTGAAGAAAGAAATTCATGCAGGTTTGGAACAACTGTAAATGGGTGAGGAAATGATGACAGAATGTTATGGAACATTCCTAATTTGTGGTTACGATAAATATATTTTTGTCTGCATGTCATGTCTCTTATGCTCACCGAAGCTACATTTATTTGACCTGAAATACAGTAAAAAAATATATGAAATATTATTACAATTTAAAATAATTGTTTTCTATTGCAATATATTTTAAAATGTAATTTATTCCTGTGATCAAAGCTGAATTTTCAGTGTCACATGATCCTTCAGAAATCATTCTAATATGCTGATTTGCTGCTCAAGAAACATTTCTGATTATCATCAATGTTGAAAATAGCTGTGCTGCTTCATAATGTCACTTTTGAGCAATTTAACGCTGAAAAAGTATTAATTTTAATTAAATTTGAATTGAAATGAAATGAATTTTTTCATGTCTGTTTTGAGGTACTGTTTCCATAAAGGAGTGCGTGTTGGTGAGACGTACATGTTTGGTAGGCTGAAGGTTGACTATAACCAGCTTCCCTCCGGTGCGTTTGGTTAGAAGAGGCAGATCTCCACTAGGTTTAATTTGAAGAGATGTTCCCAGCGTCAAGGCCAAGTCAGCTCGCCTGTGAAAAGAGACATGGAGCATCAGCTGCTGGGGTCTGTTGTTCTTTTCTCAGAATCAGTGAATAGGTGCCGTTCACATGAGTCTTGGCCTCAGTTTGTTCACCTACAGTCATAATGCACACATAAATATCAAGCTACAGTCTGGTCAGCTTCTGCATTCAAGCTCTGTGAGTGCGAGTGTCTTTTTAACGGTCTGTTCCTGCTTCATTAGGACCAATAAAAGGCTTTATTCATGACTCTAAAACCTTCAGGTGCTCATTATACAGCGAATAAACCATTCATCACAAATATCCTGCTGTTCCGATCCAGTTTCATTGTGATTCCATTCATCATCACATGGTTCCTTTGTTGATGCAAATCTGTATCATTATTATGCAAAACCTGTCAAGAACATATCTCAGTCACACTTCACCCCAAAGGCAAAAGAAAAATCAATTCTACAACAAAAAAATAAAAAATAAATAATGGCATATGATAATTGTAGCAACAATTCAGAACAATGTGTCTCATGTAATATTTTTTGTACAGCTTTTCAGTGTTATTTTAGCATTATCTACTACCATATAATTTGTTAATATATTGAATTCGCTTTTATTTTTGTATTTTCATTTTAGTTTAAATTTGAGTAATTTTTTTAATGTGGTTTTTATACAATCTCTATCCTGCTTTATTTTTGTTTCAGTTTTAGCAATTTTAGTAATTAAAACAATATTAAAGTCATATTTATATTTCAGATTTATTTTAATAAACATTTTTAATAGTAAAATAACAACACTGCTGCTTTTATGGCATTTTAAATCAAATAAATACAGTGTATATATACACACACACACACACACACACACACAACAAAACACACAACAAAAGACATTACTTTAAATTAGTGCTGTTAAATGATTAATCGCGATTAATCACATCCAAAATAAACGTTTTTATTTACATAATACATGTGTGTGTTTTGTGTATATTTACACACACACACACACACACACACACACAACAAAACACACAACAAAAGACATTACTTTAAATTAGTGCTGTTAAATGATTAATCGCGATTAATCACATCCAAAATAAACGTTTTTATTTACATAATACATGTGTGTGTTTTGTGTATATTTATTATGTATATATAAATACACACACATACAGTATATATTTTGAAAATATTTCCATGTATATATTCATATTAATATAATTGATATTATATCTAAATATTTTAAATGTATAAACTTAACATATTTTTCTTAAATATATACATGCATGTGTGTGTATTTATATATACATAATAAATATACACAAAACACACACATATATTATGTAAACAAAAACTTTTATTTTGTATGCGATTAATTGCGATTAATCGTTTGACAGCACTACTTTAAATGAAAATATAACCTAACCCTAACAACATAATTACACAAATAAAATACACACATTGTAATAATCTTAAATTAATAAAAGACTGCTTTTTTGTTATGTACAATAATAATAATAATAATAAATTAATTAATTTAATTAATGGCTTGGTCATTTGAAATAAAATCTATATAGAAAATGCTAAAATGAGCAGAATGGGTCAAAATGGTTGACTAGTCAGTTGTTGGGTGGCTAGTTGACCTTTTTTTTTTTCCCATTCACAAGTGTTGAACTGTTTGCTATCCTGACATTGCAGAAAACAACACAGAATAGCAACTTGCAACAGTGCTGGAGAAAAGGCTGTAAGACATTCACAGACCTGAAATGAACTGTATGAGTTCAGCTGTAATAGCTCAAAAGCTCTGTCTTTTTTCCATCACCGTTTCTAAGCTTGTCTGAAGTCTCTTTTTAGCTGAACATCATTAACAATAAAGTACACTCTTCAAAAGAACAATACTTATGTTTAATTAATTATACGTAAGGAGATAATTATCCTGTACACAACATAATGAAAATTGGTTCACTAAAAGCTCCATTAATTCCCCATGAACTGCTAAGACCTGGACGAAGAACAGCTTTCTAAATGCATGACTAAAAGGGATTAGCTGAACCTTCCTTTCACCACAACATCCAAAATCCAGATGTAGTGAGTGACTGCAGCAGGCAAGAAACATCTACAACCTTTCTTATAAAGAAACCACAAGTGACCTCAGACTGTGAGAGAAAATTGAAAGAGTGAAACACAGCAAAAGTGAGAAACACGAATCTTCTCTGAAAGTCTGATCAGGAGCTCGTAGGTGCTTGATTGGTTTTCGAATCTCATGTGGTCGTGGGAAACTCATCGGCATCACGTTATCAATCTCAGTGTGCCGTGCGTCCACTGTGAAACCTACATGCTCAGACAAGCTTTTACCTAAAACACATTTAAAAGACATATCTGTAAAGCTGCTGTCACCTTTAAATGAATTTCGCAGGAAAAAAAAGTTTCATAGCCAATGAATGAAGCTGAAAAAAATTAGCATTATGCACTTTCTCACCAATGGATCCTCTGCAGTGAATGGGTGCCGTCAGAATCAGAGTCCAAACAGCTGATAAAAACATCACAATAATCCACAAGTAATCCAGTCAATCAACTAATGTCTTGTTGTGAAAGCTGCATGTTTGTAAGAAACAAATCCATCATTAAAGGAGCAGTAAGCGATTTCTGTTCTGAAACACTGTTGGAAGTGGATCGGACTGAGCACCAAAACACACTTGTAGCCAATCAGCAATAAGGGGCGTGTCCACCCGTGATGGGGGAGGTGCCTGTGTTGCACAGCATGTTTGTGAATTTGGGGGCGGAGCTATCAAAATAGGGGTGTGATCCTTTTAAATAGAGGCGTGTTTGTTTTGGTGATTTCAAATATCAACAGAGTTTCTCAGAAATGGCTTACTGCACCTTTAAGACGTCTTTAAATTCAAACTGTTGCTTCTATCCATAATATCGCTTTCGCCAGTGAAAAAAGTTTTCTCGTCTGAATCAGGAGAGCAATATGCACAGATCAAGAACCGTTTACAAGCCAAAAGGGTTCTAAATAAATACATATTTTTTGCTGGAGTAAGCGTTATTATGGACGGATTGTTTTTATCAGCTGTTTGGACTCATTCAGACGGCACCCATTCACTGCAGAGGATCCATTGGTGAGCAAGTGATGTAATGCTTAATTTCTCCAAATCTGTTATGATGAAGAAACAAACTCATCACCATCTTGGATGGCCTGAGGGCGAGTACATTTAAATTTTTGGGTGAACTATTCCGTTAATAACACACATTCCAATGTTCAATGTAAACTAGGAAACAGTTATATTACAGAAAGACACATGCAGCTTTGTAGTACTGTGTCCTAAACTGAACTCCTGACAGGCTAAACAAATAATCAAACATATTATATTCAATAAAATCACTGGAGGGACTCAAATTGTAACTGTTGTGCATTACAATAAAGACAGAAAAAACCCACATTCAAGCGCTTTCTACTTCCAAGGTCACATTTCTTTTCTTTCAAGCTTTCCAGTGGATTTTGAAAGCATGTGGAAGCCCAGAGGACAGTCGCAGGTCAGACGTGCAGCAGGTGTTGCGGGATGTTTTGTATGCGTGTGTGTCTCTGTGCTGAGTCTTGTGAGACTGCAGTACATTCGCTGTAATATGATTAAGCTGGATCTGGTGCTGTTGATACAATGATCAAGACTGAGCACTCCTATCTATTAATTTGACCTGAAACTGAAGCAGTTAGAAGTAATTAAAAGAGTTTTGATAAACTAAACCATCTGCATGCAACACATCAACAAGCTTGATGGTCAACAGCGTTGTACAGGAAGTGAGATCAATCTGATGTACGGATATGAAGTCTATAATCTATCATTGCTGGAATATACAGTTGCAGTTTGGCTACAGAAGCACATATGTATAAATTATGTCAATAATTCATCGTAGTTTTGCAATATCTTAACCTAAAATCATGATTTACTGCTCTGTACTTCCTGCTGTGACATGATCAGAGTAAAACAGTTTCTTGAATGACATTTTTTTTTTAGATGTGTCAGGAACTAGATTGTTGTTTGCTAAAACGAATAATGATGCATGGATAAATCATTTATAATAAACACAGTAAAAAAAGAATTATCCATTTTGATATCAATGTAACTTTTAATATTTTACGTTTTGAACCAATTTTCAAATTTTACATTAAAAAAAAAATATTTCTATATATATATTATTTTATTTTGGTGTTAATGTGCATTTTATTTCAAGTAATCAAAAAAATTTTATAATAATGGTTTTATTCTATTTAACTGTAATACCCCAGCAATCAACTAGTCAAAAGTTATACATAAAAGGAATAGTAAAGTTAGTAATTGCCTTTGAATTGCGTTTCCTTAATTCACCGGTCAATCACTAATCTTATTTTAGACCTGTAATTGCTACTTGCCCCGTTTTTAACGAACACAATTCTTGATTCCCTATATAATGGCCTTCTCGCTGTATTGTTGAGCACACCTTCTAATTCTCAGGATATTTCTCTTCCTTACCGACATGCTTCGTCAGCTCTGCTCAGGTCTCTGTCAGGCAGTGAGTCCTCCCAGTCCAATATAGTGCTGATCAGCTTCCCTCTGCAGAGAAACACAAACACACACAAGGTGATGAGACAGAACAGCTCATGACAGGCACAGAAATCTGAGGGGGCGTAAGCGCAGGGTGTGTGCTTGCTATTTTTATAATGTTTTATGTATAGATACGTCAGACAGAGGTCTTTGTGAGTTTCATCTTGTTGTACTGTTTCCGTGAGGCAGCATGTGAACTTAAGAAACCAGCGCATCAATGTCAATATCAATTACCTGTTTTGACTAGTGACTTACAGTCGTTTGTGATTACCAGGGCTATTATCATTAACTAAACCTAAAACCATAAAAAAATTTAAATAAATAAATTAGTCAAACTCCACAAAAATTTGTCAAATAGGGAGTTTGTTTTTAATTTTAGCCCATAAGTATGACATAATCTTATGTCATAAGCATTCTGCACATATGAGAGCACCCGTACACCGGACTTCTTGGAATTTTAAGATTTTTGTGAATCCAGTTTCTGAAGACGTAACACTTGCCTGCTGCAATGTCAGAGGACGCTCAGGGCTGGATTATGAAGCGAAGGGGCCGGTACCCTGGGGCCTCAGACTGCCAGGGGCCATTAAAGCCATAGGAAGCACAGCCTGAGACTGCCAATGACAAATGAGCAGGTCCCTCGACGCAAACAGTGTGAGCTGACCACTAGGGCTCCTGAGGGCCCTCAGCACATACAGACACTAGCAGGCTTCTAACAGCTCTACTAATGTCCGTCATCCAACATTAGCCGCTGAAAAAAATGCCTTTTTATTTGTCTAACAACTGTTTTCAACACTGATAATAATCAGAAAATTTTTTTTTTTGAGCAGCAAATTCAGCTTTGCATCACAGGAATACATTGCATTTTTAAATACATTACAATAGAAAACTGTTATTTAAAATTGTAATAATATTTCACGTTACTGCTTATCAAATAAATGCCACCTTGTTGAGCAGAAGAGACGTCTTTAAAAACAAACAAACAAAAATCTTACGGATGGATGCCAAACTTTTGAGCGGTAGCGTGTTGTTAGAGCTTGGGTAGAGAGATGTGACACTACATGTATATATTTTTTACTATAGACATATAATAAATAATAAATTCCCTAATAAATTGTGTGCGGGGCATGAATTTCTGGCTCCCACCATCACGGAAAATCATGATGGACCTGTTATGGTCCATTCCTCTAAAAAGGTGCAATCACCTGCAAGATCGGAGTCCTCTTGAGCGCGTGACATCGCAGTAGCGTCCGGTTGGCTTCAGACCCATCACTCCAATTACAGTGTCCCGAACATATTGCCTGAAACAGCCCAGGGCACAAGTGCTTATCGCTGTGACAGTGGCAGTACCTGCACATGACCCACTGCCTCTTTCCATAGAGATTTGTGTGAGTGATCAATAGCTCAGCATTCTCACAGGCTTTATCTGTTAGACACAGAGCTATGATGCACATACACAATCAATACTGCACATGTTGAATGTCAAACATGCAGTGTGCACTAGAAAAATAAACCTGAATAAATGTTTTTGGAGACTGTAAATTCATCAAAGACTTTTCTGTAAATAGATTTTGTTTTCTTTATTTACCTATGTTTCCACCCAAAACTGGTGGGATTATATTTTGTGTGGGATCGATTTTAAATCAGAATTTGACAAATAAACAGCAATGTTTTGAAAGTTTTCAAACAGCGCTAAGTCAACCTACAAAATGTCTTACAGTTTATAAAATCTTTGAAGATTAGAGGAATATTTCAGTCAACACAATCCAAGATGTAGATGAGTTTGTTTCTTCATGGGAACAGATTTGGAGAAATGTAGCATTGCATCACTTGCTCACCAATGGATCCTCTGCAGTGAATGGGTGCCGTCAGAATGAGAGTCCAAACAGCTGATAAAAACATCACAAACCACAAGTGGTGTGGATTACTTGTGGATTATTAGTCTTTATCAGCTGTTTGGACTCTGATTCTGACGGCACCCATTCACTGCAGAGGATCCATTGGTGAGCAAGTGATGTAATGATACAGTACATTTCTCCAAATCTGCTTTGATGAGGAAACAAAGCATTTTAATCTTTACAGACTGGCCCCATTAATGTCCACTGGAATATTTTTTGCTTATTATTATTATTAACATTATCATTATTAATTAATTAATTGATTTCTTTTTTTAAAGCAGGGACAAATGGAAATAATGTTTGTGGTAATGAACCACAAATGCTTTTGACTGAGCTTAACTTGTAACAAATCTAGAATTTTGCTTTAAACTAGGACAACATATTTAACATACAAAATTACATACTTCACCTACAAATTAGATTTATGTGCTTTTTTTAAGTTATTTGAAACTTTGCTGAAACAAACTTAAGTTAGACTGAAGGTAGTGTCCACCACTGTAGCTTGCTTGTCAAATAAATCATTTAAAGTCTGTCTTTTTACATCATTATCTACCCTTGGCAACCAGTAACAAAGCAACAAGTTTAAAACAGTCCTGAATGTCTTGTACTAGTTAAACTGCATCAGAAGATGTGGTTATTCTTGCTCTTGACGTGTGCAGACAGACTTCACTACCACGTTCAGAGAACGATTACATACTTGCCGCACTTCTCACATTCTTCAACAAACATGTTCCCGTGCAGCTCTGACAATCGATCCCTAGCAGATGCAGAGAGAAGTAAACAAACCCAATAAGAACAGAAGAATGAGTAATGAATCAAAATCAAAAATGAGAGAAAAAGAAGCAATTAAAGAAAGGATGAGAAAATGATGACACAATTCTGTCGGATACATGCAAATGACTGTGGGTTGTTTATATCAGTTCAAATCAATGTTAGTATAATTGATATACTATTAGAGTTTAATTAATATTTTTAATTAGTTTTTATTTTTATATTTTCAGTTTTCTTTTTAATTAAAGTTTTAGTAATTTGTGTGTTTCTGTCATTTCTGTTAGTTGTTTTTATTTTTTATTATTTTTTATTAAGTTTTAGTTATTTTAGTACTTTAATTAGTTTTAGTACTGACTTTGTTTTTATTTTTATATTTTCAATTTTAATTTTAATGAAAATTGTAATAATTTTTGTGTTGACATTTCTTTTAGTTATGACATTTCGATTAGTTCATATACAAATCAGTGTTATTTCAGTATTATTCTTATACTATTATAATTTTTATTATTATTATTATTGGATTCGTTTTTATTTGTATATTTGATTACATTTTTAGTAATTTGTGTTTTTGTCATTTCTAGTTTTGTCATTTCCATTAGGCCTAGTTTATTTTCAAATCAGTTATTTTAGTATTTTTCATATACTATGTTTATGAAATTTGCAATTCATTGCAAGAGATTTGCAATGATATTACACAGTGCCTGAAAATAGTTCCCAGCTAGGTAACTTCCAACGGCAGGCACGCTCCCTGTGCAAGCAGGTGGTCACGTTGGTTATGCTGACGATTTTATTTAACGATAATAAGCCTGACAAATAACAAAACAATACAATACAAGATTATGACTGAGGGCTTTTAATTACGTCTGCCTGAATAAAATGCGCAATTCATCATGTCAATATGCTAAATTCAACATTAACAGCTTCAAGTCATTTGCCTAGAACAAAACATGCTGATAGCATTCATTTGTGGGAAGAGAAAATTAAAAGAGCTAATCAACATGACACATCTGACATCACACGCAGGACAGAGGTCAGAACTTTAATCGAAACGGTACGAGAGACGTGGGAACGGCATGAAGCCAGCCAATCAGACTGGTGTGTAATATCCATCATTACCTGGGGAAGCCGGAGCGCAGGTGAAGGCCGTCTACGTTCATGATGCACACCTAACATTCAAATGTTTATTTTAAATTAAACTAATATTCATTCTTTATTCACAATCTCCTCATCACAGGCAGGCACAGCACTCATTTCAGCATGTGTTCATGTTTGTGTGTGCTGTCTGCGTCACTCATAGTACATGCCTATATCGTGCGCTATATCAAACAATTTTTCTATTGATATCGAAGAAGGTATACCGTCGATAAGTATCGATACCGTTTTATCACCCAGGCCTAAATTCATGTGACACTGAAGACTGGAGTAATGATGCTGAAAATTCAGCTTTGCATCACAGGAATAAATTATATTTTAATATAAATTTAAATAGAAAACAGCTTTTTTAAATTGTAATAATATTTGACAATATTACAATTTATGTATTTTTGAACAAATAAATGCAACCTTGGTGAGCAGAAGAGACTTCTTATATTTAAAAAATCTTACCAACCCCAAGCTTTTGAACAATAGTCTGTATATATACTAAACATAGGGCATGGTGTTAGAAACATCACTGTCATAGGTTTGATTCCCAGTCAAATGAAATGATAAAATGCATACTTTAAAGGGGTCATATGATGCTATTTTAAAGATCATTATTTTGTGTATTTGGTGTAACAGAATATGTTGACATGCTTTAATGTTCAAAAAACACATTATTTTTCAAATACTGTACATTATTGTAGGTCAAATCGCATCATATGACCCCTTTAAAATGCAATGCATGACAATTTGGATAAAAATGAACATGAAATGCATAGATGCAAATTATTCCAGAATTACAGTGCATGCTTGTGTTGCTTTAGGTTTGAAAATGATGATATAAAACTATTTTTGTAGCAAGAAACTAGTGAACTTCAGGAGGAAAGAACAAAATGACTCTCCATTCCCACAAGCCTTTGTCTCCTGTCTGATCCTCCTCTCCCTCTGTGATTCAGGGAGCACTGCTGAGCTGCTGGAAATCTCGGATGACAAAGACAGGGTGTTAGTTATCACGGAGAACAGCAGGAGGTCACTACGCTTTCTTATAACTGCGGATGCAGTTACTAAGAGGGACAACTCAAAAGTTCACTTAAACGGGCAGAAATCTTGGTCTTGTGCACTTGGGGATTTGTATCAACAGACACACATACACACACAACAGCCAATTCTGCTGAAATCCGGTTTGCTTTTTCATGCTTTCCTAGTTACACACATGCAGCGGCTTTCCCTGCCCGACTTATCAAAAGTTTTCTATTCTTACTAAACTTGGAAAAGCTCTTACAAGTACTACATAAACCCCTAAATAAGTCCTATCCAGACTTTAGGCTACTACTGATCAAAGTCTTGTACACACAGCAGCTTATTCTGGCCAAGAATCACCCGCTTAGACAGAAAGAGGGCGCCTGACTGACACGTTAACCGTCAAACACAGTTAGCTTTTCCTTAATGTGACGTTTGGAGGCGTGTAAATCTGAAATGGGATGAAAACAAAGGTCTGCTTGCTCACTAAGTGTCTCAAATGAAACTTTTGACTGACTTTCAAAGATTCAATGTCAAAAACTTGAACAAATTATGTGTTTAGTTCTTCCCGAAGCAAACCGATGAGTTTGTTTCCCGGTGCACTGATATAAACCTGTGCACTCTGACTTTCGGAAATTGCGTCAAGCCAAGCAATCAGATTGGAGCTCAACGTTTGAGAAAGCTCTTGACATTTTTTGTGTGCAATACGCAGGCGGTCAGTAAACAGTCCGTGGGCACGCCGTCTACGTATGTCCCAAGTAAGCTCTTCACTTATGAAATACTGCATATAGCACACCAACAAGCTGTGCAATGTGGGAAATTGAAAGGAGATTCTAGTGCACTGCTGTTTAGATGAATATGCCTGCAGAATGTTAAAACATTCCACCATGAAAATGTGTCAACCTGTTACCTTGAAGCAAGACCAGAGTGAGTTTGTGTCTGTGTGAATATTAAAACAATAGTTGAACTATAAACACAAGTTCTACACTCACCCTCACATCGTGCCAGACCATTCATTAAAGTTTTCATTCGTTAAAGTTTTCAATAATTTAATTGTATTTCTGTTTAGTGAAAGACACCGTATAAAACATGCATTGATTATTTTTATGCATTTTATTTCTTGCAAACATTCTGAATCCATACTATCCTCTCAAATGTTTAGGGTTAGTTATTTTTTCCCCGAAAGAAATTCATACTTTTATTAACCAAGGGTGCATTAAAATGATCAAAAGTGACAGTAAAGTCTTTTAAAGTGTTACAAAAAATATTCTATTTCATATAAATGCTGTTCTTTTTGGTAGTACTTATTTTAAATTGTAATAATAATATTTCACAATGTTACAGATTTACTGTATTTTTGATCAAATAAATGTAGACTTTGTAAGCGTAAGAGACTTCTATAAAAGAAAAACATTTTTAAAAAGCTTACGAGCTCAAACTCTTGAACAGTAGTGGACATAATGGTACACGCTTGCTATAAATGCATCTAACGTTTCTGCAAATGGCAGATGCTATGACAGTGCATGCATTCAAATGATGCCTTTCATCAGTAGCAGTGTCCTTTGGGAACCAAACACCTTTTGCATTCCACAAAAAAAATCTAATTTGGTTCAGATGACATGAAGGTGAGTAAATGGTGAAAGAATTACCATTTTTAGGTGAAGGATTGCTTTAGCGTTATATGTGCTCTTAACAGTCAGACTGAGTGCCTATTTGCACCTACAGAAGCCTCACCTCTGAAAATAATCTGTCAAATCAAGATTTGACAGACAGGTGTTCTTATGAAAATTTCACATGAGAGAACACAGGAGGAAAAATATGCAGCTGCCCATCGCATCACACACGTTTCTTCTGATAACGAGTCAGATGAGCCGACAGAATGACAACGAGGGGAAGAAAGGAAAACCAGCTGGGTGAAAGAAGGAGAATAAATGTAACAGGCGTCACTCAACGTGACACCAGCACCCTTTAAAATTAAACCCCCTGTGCACGGTTTTAAGCAATTACAATGACAAACTAGCAGAAGGTGAATCCAATGAAATCGCCACTGAAATTCATGGAACATTAAAAATGTGTACATCAAACACAAATCTTAAAGTAAACCAAAGTGAAATGAGGTCAGCTCAGCAGTGTGGAAAAGCACTGCAAACACACACACACATGCTCTTATCTTGAACTTGAGAATGAGACTGCAGTACTCAGGGTTATTATAAATAACTCAAACTAAAACCATAAAAAACCTGAGGAAAAAAAACAACAACCTTTAACTGAAATAATAAATATGAAAAAATTAAACATATTTTAATTAAGCTAGTTGCCAAGGCTAAATTTTTGATTTTATATTTACTTTAACTGGATGTACTAAAATAACAAATAACTGAAATAAATGTATGCAAATATATATATGATATATGGAATATATAACAATAAATAGAAAATAATATATTATATATGAAAAACAAAATGAAATAAAATGTTTTGAATGTAAAACATCTGCCATATTTCATCCCAAATCTCTATAGGAAGAAAAAAACAACAAATAAATACAAATAAATAAATATTCTGCATACAAAATTATTGTTATTTTAGAAACATTAAGATTTTTTTAGATTATATTTAATTCTGATAAATCCCCCTGAATTCCCGTTACTGTAATGACAAAAAATATCCTCATTATTGCATTAAATCAATCAATCAATCAATCAATCAAGTATAAATGAACTGCTCAAGTTAATTGTTAATATGTAAAATACAATTGTGTCTGGTTAGGATAACCTGCGAGTAGGGCTGCACGATAAATCGCATGCGATATTTTAACGCGCATCTTGTCAGAAAGCCGGTTCTGTAATCAGCGGTAAATCTCCATCACCTGTGTGCTTTCACATTGAGCAGCATTAACTACACAGAGCTGTTGTTCACTGACGAGCTGCGCAAAAAATCGCGCGAATATGAACGTGGTTTTCCGCAGCTCGTCTGTGAACAACAGCTCTGTGTAGTTAATGCTGCTCGATGTGAAAGCACGCACGTGATGGAGATTTACCGCTGATTACAGAACCGGCTTTACTGATAAGATGCGCGTTAAATATCGCATGCGATTTATCGTGCAGCCCTACCTGCGAGTATAATGAGAATAATCATTGTGATTAATGAAAATTACTAAAAAAACAATCAAGCAAAAATCCATACACATAATGACAATGAGAACTGTTGCTCCCAAATGTTTAACTGGGGATGAAAATGTCCCAATGCAAAACATCTTAATGGTTCTTAAAGTAGTTTCTTATTCTTTCATAGTTGCTAATGTAATGCGGATGCTCTTCCTGAAATATGAGTACAGAATATACCGCAAAATAAACAATGTATAATGTGTCAGCTGCACCATCTAAGTTACATAAATCCGCTACTGATTAGTACTTAAGAAATCATTTCAATCAGATATTTGGAGACAATAGGCTCCCAACTAGCTGAAGGCATGTAGATCAATAATACGATAACGCAAGCAGTCCAATCCTCTACATTGCGAGTAAATTCTGTTTTGTGTTCACACTTCCTGTTTGTTGCTACCGTGTGTTTTGAGTTTGAGCTCCGTCAAGTTAATTCTTTGTCGTCTAATTTTCTATTTTAAAATCAATTTTATACACCATCATTTTCGTTTATATAACGTGTGAATATATCCCCTATCGTATTCTACAACAAAAACAATCAGAGCGCCTTGTTATCACTAGTTTTATTTTGATTTCCCGAGTCCGCTATTAGCAAATAGCCCGCTAGCATAGCCAGCGTGGTTGCCGCTAACCTCGCTTACATTACAAATACTCTATTCACACAAATTACCATTGTTTTACTCACTGTTACTTGCTTTAATGGCGGATGTGTGTCTACCTTTGAGTACAGGTGAGGACACGTTCAAGCTGCATTCAGTGCAGCTCGAGCTGGAGGCCGTGGAGAACCAGATCCGCGACCTGGTGGTGAGGCTGACCCAGCTGAGAGAGCAGAG